GCACTGCTCACAGCACAGAATGAATCCCCATCAGATGGTGAGTGAGCGGGGAAGTCGTAAGGACAACTGCACAATGGTTTGAGTCTGTGTCCATCTGTTTCATTGGCTGGTGTGGGGTCGTCTGTGACTGGTATTGGTTTACGTTGTCATCTAGGAATTTATCTGTTGAAAATGAAGACGTGGATATGCTGGTCCATCACAGGATAGCTCTGAGCCGTTAATATACATAGCTGCAAGAAAGGAAGAAGAGATTCGGAAGAGAGAAAGATTCTTGTCTCCAATTGAAAAGACAGGGGCAGCTTTGAGGACACTATTTCGTTAGCTGAAATCTTCCAGAGCAGCCCAGCTCAGGGAAAGTGTCAAGCTATCACTTTACGTTTCATTCAGAAAATTGAAAGTAAGTCTGCTTGATGCCAAGCACTATAAGACATCTCGTTTTGTTGCTTTGTTTTCAACAGTGGCCAATGGATGTATTTTAGGGGCCTGGCTAAGATCGTTTGGTGTATATAACAAAGCAAAATCTCTCCCTGGTCACCAGCTGAGGCTCCTTTTGTGCTCTGAAGAATGAAAACTGATAGTGCCTTGCAGCATTTTAGGATGTATTTATTCAGTGCTATGCAAGGTAACTGGTTTAGCCTTGAACAAGTGAAGTCAGTTGCTAGAAACAGCACATCTGATGTAGCATGGGGCTCTGCTTGGTTGCTTAACCTCACCAGGGATCACCTTGCCGAAGGCTGAGGGTAGGGTTGGACTGGCACTACTACCGAGCTGCTAATTTAGCCCTGTTCCTCTGCAGACTTACAGTCAGGAGCTGACATTTCTCTCCAACACAACCAGTTATAAGGTTTAAGGAGTCCAAGGCAGAGAGCTTAAAGATCCCATACATGCTCTGCACAAAGTCAACCCAGGGCATGTTCTGTTGTTGGTTGTTGGGGTTTTTTTTTCAATTAGGTGAACAGTCCCCATACTTAGGAGAAATTTTCAATTTGTTTGATTAGACCTCACTTGCTCATTGATTTGTATTGTACTTGCATTTTCTTTGGATTCCAATATATTGTTTGGATTCTTATACAAATATATTCTTATACAAGTCTTACGGGGAGTGGCTGAGGGAACTGGGACTGTTCAGTCTGGAGAAGAGGAGGCTGAGGGGGGACCTTATTGCTCTCTACAACTACCTGAAAGGAGGTTGTAGTGAGGCAGGTGTTGGTCTCTTCTCCCAGGTAACTAGTGATAGGACAAGAGGCAATGGCCTCAAGTTGCATCAGGGGAGGTTTAAACTGGATATTAGGAAAAATTTCCTTGCTGAAAGAGTGGGCAGGCATTGGAACAGGCTGCCCAAGGAGGTGATGGAGTCACCATCCCTGGAGGAGTTCAAAAAACGTGTTGATGTGGCACTTTGGGATATGGTTTAGTAGGCATGGTGGTGTTGGGTGGACAGTTGGACCTGATGATCTCAGAGTTCTTTTCCAACCTATGGTTCTATGATTCCACGATTCTATGATCTCCAAATGGCCAATTGCCCAGTCAGGGTCAAATGAGCCATATCACCACATGCATTTATTAGATGTGTTTCATATTTGTGCCCATTCTTACTTTACTGTTTTTCCTGGACCAAAACAAACAAGGGTTATTAATGTGAGAAACCAGGGTGCAATACGTTTTTTTGCTGCTACAGCTCAGCTGGGGGAATAGTTATCTTTCCAAAGCACATGTGGGAGTTTTCTGACCACCTGCGTGTCATATTTTCAGGAAATGAGTCCAAAAAGCATGAAGAACAGGCTGGTGATCCATCTAGCTGTGTAACCAGCTGCCAGGGTTGTCACACCGAGTCTGCATAGGATGGTGGGGTTTATTCCACAGGAGAGATTATTCCACGTTCCCAGCTGAACCATGAAAATTAACATTGCCTTGTGACTCTTATAAATGCTGTGATAACTGTTGTTGATGCTGGTTTTACTTGTAGAAGCACCTAATCATCTTTTAAAACTTGCAATCCTTTAGCCTCAAATAATATTCTAAGAAAGCAGTCCTGTTGTAATTCCCAAATCTAAATCACAGGTATTTATCTGCTTTGATAGTGGGTGTAACCTATGTATAATTAATATGTGGAGTGGCTGGGGAAGAATTAACTGTAGCAATTTCCTTTAATTTAGTAGCATGCACATGTGTATTTAGCAGCGTGCCCCTGGTGCTCCAACAATTAGCTAATTCATCTGCCTGGTGCGATGGAGAGAAAGCAACTGGTTGTTTTTGCAATAAATGAAAACATCCCGCTGCTTCTGCTCAGAATTTGAGAGCAATTTGCTTTTGTGTCTGACTTGTGTGTGCAAGGGAATACTGATGTTATTTGACCAATTGTTGCTTGACATTTTACATTTCTAGAATGGCTTTAGCATGTGAGGACACCACAGGCTTTTAAAAGTGTCTCCTATCAGTGTGTCGTTACAACCAAACAAGCACGCAAAAAAGATAACGTGACATATTAAGGGTAGCACCAGAATGACATCCTTCTCTTAGCTTTACAAATGTCACGGCTTGTCACTTTAGGAAAAATTACAGTGAAATTACCATCCTGGAAACAGTCCTAAATTATAGTAGTAGTGGCAGTACTTGAAAATATTGTTAGTCCCCACTTTCAGGCAGTAGATTTGGCAACAGACCTATTAAAGTTGCAGTGCAAAAGGAGGGGCCATTGCGCTACTTGCTTGGTTCCTGGACTATGTAGTTGTGAAGAGAACAACGTATGAGTAGTCTCAGGTGATTTACAGATGATGTTTTAGTAAAGTTAATGAGCTTTTATGAAAGAGCTATCACTTTGGGACTATTTTACCCATGACAAAAGTGCAATATGTTTATAAATTAACTTATAGCCTGGTTATTATTCCAGGTCTCAGTCAAGGGCTTGTGCTCTATTATTCTTGATAAATACTCACCGGGAGACAGTCCATGTGCCAGAGGACTTAGAGTGGGAATAAAGGAGATGCAGTCCTCATGGCAGAATAGATGTGTAGTGAGAAATGAGTTTTCAAGATTGCACATAGAATCTGTGACATTGCTGGGAGGCAAACCTGAGGCTTAGGCCACTACGTTAAGCTTGAAACACTATTTTTTTTCTTCTCTGGTGGATACTGTCAGAGTGTTTGGTACTCAGTGCTTCAGTTAGCATTCATTTACGCTTTCCAAAAATTCCCCTTTGAGGGCAACTGCTCTTCTAATTCTTACACGAAAGGATAAGTATGTTTTTGAGATATTTTTGTCCATGCTGTCAAAAATAAGTGTGCAGGTACAAAAAGCAATTGTGCATCCTGCCAGACATCTCTGTGCTGCGCAGTGGAGCACAGTGCAGAATTCATTGGCTGTCCAGGGCTGTGCCCCTCCTAGTGACCCACGCCGTTTGTGTCCATCTCCCAGACCACACACCACTTGCCTTTCAGGTTAGAAGCCTTCCCAAATGGGAGAGCACGTTCTCTGCAGGGCCTGCTGCAGTTCCTACGGAGCAGGACCCATTCCAGCTCTGTCCCATCCCAAGTGGAGAGAGGAGCTGGTCCAAAGTGCATTTGCAGGAGGCAGAAGTGGGATCCTGTGTTACGGAGGGAGCAGCTAACTGACAATCATGCTGCTCATACGTATTTCTACAAGTGTTTTGGAGCTGTGACTGACCATTATTTTGAAAAGGGAGTTAATTGCGTATGTGTTTTAAACTCAGCTGGCCATTTTTATCTGGATTTATATACACCAGCCCTTCACGGACCCCAAGGAGGGCACATGTACTGATGAGGCTTTTGTTCATCTCTTCTTGCATCTAAGTCATCCTAATAAAAGATGCTATTTTTCACTACAATGAGTCCCATGGCAACAACGCCCATACCTAACGAGACTGACGCACACCGGGTGGCATCTTCGCCGGCAGAAGTTGCTGTCTGCTCCACACCTCCTGGTTTGTGCTGCGTAATTGGGAAGAGAGGAGCAGGCGTGCAAAGGGCTTGAAACTCAGCGGCACACCGTGCCCGTGGGCACATATGCCGTGGGCTCTGCTTACATGTTCCACGGCCTTTTGCCAAGGAACACAGCCCTTCATTCATGAGAAATGTCCCCAGCTAAAAAAGCAGCCTCGTACCCACAGAAGTACACTTTACACCTCCAGAAGGAAATAAACTTTACATACAGCCCAGACACAAGCGAATCCCACAGAGGTTTTTGGTCAGCTTCTGTTCGTTGTTTGTGGGGAAGATTTCATCTTTGCTCTTTTTTTTGTTTGTTTATTTTTCTGGATTTTTATCCCCCCTCGCTGACTGAGCCCGCACAGTGCAGTGCTGTGTTGTGCACAGACATTCATGCTAGCTGGAAAGCTGGCACAGGTGCCAGAAGAGATTTAGCTGTTAGAAAGCCCATACCCAAGCTCGGGGACTGGGTAATTAGTGGGAATGTCATCACTCTAAAATGGTTGCTCTATTTTGGGGCCTGGAGTTGCAATCCCACAGTTGTGGCTGTGTCTGGCATCGTAGAGGCCTGTCAGGCACTTGGGAACTTGTGCACTGTGCTGTGTCACATCGTGCGATGGAGATTGAAGTACTGCAGATGGATGCTTAACTTCAGGAGGAAGACTTTGGGGCGCTGGGTTTCCTTAATGGCGATCATTCATTGCCTTAAATAAAATTCTTTGCCAGTTAACTTTCAATTGTCCAGGGAAGGAAGAGGGATGTGTGGCAAATAAAACCAGTAAAGAAAATAATAATAATAAACTGTTTGGACGTAGCTTGAAATTTTTGTGAAATTCAAAGTGTCTTTAAGAGGAGGGGGCAGCACGGAGCCCAGAGAGGCGGCACACCTGCATCTCTGTCAGTGCAGGCAGGCGCTGGGGAAGGTGAGGTCTGGCTAATCCACCACCCGAATAAACAGGAGTTGACTGTGTTGCGACAAGTTCAGAGATCCTGATGGCCGGAGCTGAACTGAATTAATGGTTATTTTTCTTTTTTCTTCCTTTTTCTCCTCCTCAGGTGGAAGAAAGCTACTCTGCCGGCAGCCCTTCAAAAGGCCTTTTCTCAAAAGGGCTCCAGAACCGACCTTCCAGCCCTGTTTCTGCCCCTGTGAGATCCAAACATAGCCCTGGCTCACCCAAAACAGTGTTCCCCTTCCCCTACCAGGAGTCTCCCCCACGCTCCCCACGCCGAATGAGCTTCAGTGGGATCTTCAGGTCCTCCTCCAAAGAGTCCTCCCCCAATTCTAACCCGTCTACCTCTCCTGGGGGCATCAAGTTTTTCTCCAGATCAAGAAAAAGTAAGAAATTGCTCATGTTATTTCAGGAAGATACACAGTACCTCTGGGCTTGGCCCATTCTTTACCTGCGGTAGTGAAGTAAGTGCAGATGAGGCATGTGGTAATTGTTTGTTATCGCTTTCTCTGACCATGTGTTTTGGGTTTCTGACATGCTGGCCATTAGGGTATGGCCTCTACAGGGCCAGGGATGCCTACGCAGGGCTGAGGAGGGAAATCACACTTCAGAGCTTTGCTTAGAAATCCTGCGTCCACATTAGTGGGAGTTTTCTGGGTGATTTCACTGAGACTGGTTGGATGTCAGCGCCGGGGCTGGAGAACAGCTGGAGGTGGGGTTTGTGGCAGAGGTGGGCACAGAAAGGACATCATCTTGGGAGCTAAGGGAGACTCACTTTCGTAGACTCCATAGAGAATTTCAGCTGTTTTTTTAATTGATATTTCTTTGCCATATTGTAGGAGGGGAAAGAGACCTTTACTGGATAGAAATAGATGATGTATGTTTCCAATCAAATGACCATTAAGGGAGTGTTAGAGCTCGTCTGCCAGAATACGAAAGGCATCATAGACCTCAATGGTTCAGAGCACTTGCCTGCTTTATATTGGGCACAAATTCTACCTCTCCAGCAGCCCGTGGGCTAACACACCATTAAGACTCAGAAATGAGCAGGACTGAGAAAAATCTTCGATTTTAAAACTTTCTTGCTGAATTAAAGCTCCCAGTGCTGGTCGACAAACCAAACTTGCTCTGCCCAAGGGGTTAGTGGCTGTAGGAAGGGGACAGAGTTACAGGGGAACAAGAGGAATAATGTACATATATATCTATATATATATATAAAAAACAATAACACTGAGGGCATTGGGTTGTCAGAACACAGCAAGTTTTCCTTCTGTGAACAGAAGAAATAACTCAATGATGAATTGTTGTTAAATCTTCTGTGACAAAGTAGGTACAGAATTAATGATGCGTATACTTACATTTGGCTATATGTTTCCTGCAATGTATTGGTAGCTTTCCGTGATGCTTCTTGTTTGTCTTCATCAGAATTTCCCTTAAAAATGTTGGTTTTAATCAGAACAAGTAATTTCATAGTGACTTTTGTGCACAAGAACACAGCTATACAAACCCATGTAGGTTTTTTCTTTATGTTTATCAGAAGTTCTGCTGCAGCCTAATTGAAATGGAATCTTTTCCAGTCCTTGCCTCTCTCTAAAACACCTTCAGGAGACTGAAAGTAGGAGAGTCAGTGTTTCTCAAGGACTCCAAGTAGATTCCAAGCATCATGTCTATTCAAAGACATTTGTTCTTCTCTGCTTAAAGCTGAAGTATGCTTTTTATGCTCGCCTCTTTTTCAAGCCTCACAATAATTACAGTTCATTTAGGTACAGAAGTTTGAATGTTACATAGGCAATGTGCCGCTGAAGGAGTACGCAGAGAAAGGCTTGCTGCTGCATGAAGAACAGCAATATACACTGCATAGCAAAGCCACCTTGGGACTTTTTCAGCAAGTTATCCAAGCAAATAGCACTGTTTAAGTTCTATCTAGGTACAACAGAATATTAAAGGAATCTTCCAGTAGTCATCAAAATCCTTTTGATAAGGTCACATCACTGTCGCAGGAACAGGCTTGGAATGGGGCTGTGCTATTTTTGAGCTGACAGAAGACACCCATGACCCTGCTGCTCCAGAGCGGGTTGCAGGAGTTGCGCTGGGCTTGGGCATTCGTGATCTTCTGTTTTTCAGGCAGGAGGGCAGCCTCTTGGAAAGGGTGTGATGATTCCAACTGGTGTTGAAATTGATAAGCCTTCCCATTCTGCAGCGTTTTGCAAAACAGAACATCTCTTACCATGTGCTTTCACACCGTTTAGCTCTCTTACGGAGAGACGAATGCAGATACATACCCTTCACCACCACGTTAAAGTAGATTTTATTCAGAATGTGCTAAACGGGTCGGCAATGAATTCCACTCTTAGGGCTTACTACATTGAATTAAATTTTATTGAATATAACGAAACCTTTTCAGAACTTCAGGAAATGTATGGGTTAGCATTTCTGTTGTATTATGTGGTTTTTCACAAGCAAAACTTTTGCATTCTGCTACTTTGCAAATGAAGAATAACCCTATGTATTAGAAAACACTCAGCTGATTGGTTGTGTCCCGTGCGAAACAAAGGCTCTGTGGCTTTCCCAGCATTTCCTGAGTGAGGAGACTTCTCAGAGACTCCTCAGACCAGACAGCTCGGACCCCTGCGCAGAAGCTGTGCTGAAGAGCTCTGAGAAGAGCTAAACCAGTGCGTTGCTCCATGTTTCTGAAGGGGCATAAATGCTTCCCTGCTCAAAATTGTCACAGCCTACAGGATTAAAGTCCCGTTTTCTCAGGCAGCTTGGGATACCTGTATTAAAAGTGAATGGGACTTGGGTTGCTTTATCAGGTCTGAAACTGTGAGTGCATTGAAATCAGATGGTCTTGCTGTGCTTGCCTGCCTTTAGAGCTGGCACTGGGTTAATACTATTAAAATGAAAATTGACTTTGTGCTGGGCAGCATGAGGAGGAGCATCACCAGTCAGGTCTAGGGAAGTCATCATCCTCCTCTATTCAGCAGTGATGAGACACATCTGCAGGTCTGGGTCCAGTTCTGAGCTCCCCAGTACAAAAGAGACAGGGACGTACTGGTCCAGCGAAGGGCCACTACATTGGTCAGGGGCTGGGACATGTGGTGTAGGGGGAAGAAGAAGGAGGATAAGACATTTTTGCTGTCTCCAGTTACCTAACAGGGTTATGGTGAAGGCAGTGCTGAGCATCTCAGGGATGCCCAGCAAAGGGCAGGAGGCTGTGAGGGAAACTCCAGGCAGATGCAAGAAAAATGTTCTTGGCAGGGGGTACATGGCATCGGAGCAGAGGTCCAGAGGGCCTGTGAAATTGCTGCCCTTGCAGATTTTAATAAGTTAATAGGGCAAGGCTCTGAGCACCCCAGTTTAAAGTTGAAGCCCTGCTTTGAGTAGGGATTGGACCAGAGCCCTCCAGAGGTCCCTTCCAGCCTTGGCTCTTCGGGGAAACTGCCCTGGAGCCTTCCGTCTGGGTTTGTAGCAAACTGGCTCTTTGTCCAGGCAATCTGCAATTCAAAAGAAAGCACCAGGTAAAAGTTCACAGGGATTTGGAGGTTTTTTTGTCCCCTGCTTTACCTGAAATGAGTCTGTGCTACACCGCTTTCCCTGTCATCACGGAGCAGTATGTGGGGGAAGTGTATGCTGTCCTTGTTTGAAATACCATACCCCGTCTTCCCTCCACTGCCTCCTCCCACGCGTTGTTCGAAACACAGACTAACCTGTTACTCCGCATATTCCTTGTTTTTCTTGGAAGCAGCTTCTTCCTAGCTTGTTTTCATTTTGAAGGTTATGTGTGGTATTCACAGAGCTTTCTTTCCCATGTAGTTGCTCTTTTCCCAGAGAAGTTATTTTGCCTTTTGAATATACACAGTCTGGGAAGGGCATTAATGGTTAGGGTAGGATGACATTGAAGCAGAAGGTGATTCGCAGACATGAGACTTAAAACCTTTGCCACTAAAGGCTGGGAGTTTAAAGCTTTTGTTCATCTTTAATACTGTATCACTTGGTTTGGCAATAGCCAAAAGCTCTTCTTTGTATCTTTTCCCTTTTGTTACCCCAGTTCAGCATCTGGTCATAACCCCACGTCTCTGATCTGACAAAAGATTTGCCTGGAAACGAAAAATACCTTCCTACAACATAGACTTGGCTGCCAACCACTTTAGGTATTTTGGAAGTACAACTTCGAAACAGTAAACTGTAGCTGGGTCTTCACGCCCAGCATCCCACCTTTGAAAAGGCAACAAACCCACCTCGGCCCCTCCCGGCAGTGGCTCCGCAGGGACCTGTTTTGGGTGAGGCGTGTGCTTGGTCGCTGGTGCAGCCCCTTGGTTCAAGAAGTTCACCAGAGAAAAGTCCAAGACAGCTCTTTGCATGTTGGGTTTCTGTACAAGTGCTTTGAAATTTTATTCTTGTCTTTTAAATTTCTTTTTGTCTGAGAATTTCTTTACACAGCACTGTTAGACCGATAATTGAAAACTGAATCTGGATTTGGGATGAATTAAGCTTGGTTCTGAGGTGATGCGGATGCACTCTGTGAAGCTTGGTAGATGCAGTCCCACCCAGCGCTGCCCACCTTACACCTCCCAGAGCCAGGCGCCTTAGGCAAGCGGAGATTTGGCTCTCTGAGGTGAGGAGCTCAGTCTCTCATTTTACCCATCAGCGTGGGCACGTGAGCAGCTGTGGAGCACTGAGCAATTACATTTTAATTATCTCTAGAAAATTGGATACAAAAAAGTGAGTAAATTGGAGTGACCTAGTGTAGCTAGCAGGAGGCTTCTACAGAGCTGACACTGATATTTTAGATGTTTTTCAGGGACAACAGGAACAAAGGGTGAATGAAGAGATGCAAGTTGAAGTTTGAGGTGCTGTGATAAGTGGCTTCACAATTGGCATTGTGGAACTGCTTCCCAGTTCATGTTAGGTTCGCTCAAAACTGCATGAACTGCTCTCATGAGGAACAACTCAGAACCTGGTGCTCTGAGATGTTACTGAGCCTTGGCTGTGTTGGCAGTGTGTTTCTCTTGTGTGCCAGTTGGCGTGAGCAGGTACAATCCTAAGAGAAGGAAGAAGTGGCACGAATGTATTTTCAGTAAATCGAACTCAAGTGATCCAAAGTAAATGTGGGAGAATAACCTACACTGGAGGAAAACACAATTCAGATGACACTTTTCTGTGGTCTGACGTGAGGTCTCCCTTCAGAGCCAGTAAATACACAAATAAATGAGGACAGCTTTATTTTACTGAGTGGAAATTAGGGAGCTACCCCTGCAGATGGGCTAAAATCAGGTACCCTAAATATTTTATTGAAAGTAGATGGTTGTATGAAATTTAAGTCATTAAAATGTAGCATTTTCCGTGGGGATGAATGCCAGGTTGAGGACAGCAGGGCATTTTCCAG